AGGGCTTACAAGCCTCACAGCTGTGCTCTGGGTACAGCGAAAGTTCTGCCCTGTGCTGATGTCTGTGCCGGCCTCTCCCTGCTGCTTCATTTTTGTAGGAGCTGTGTGGCACTGAGCCTGGTACTCAGAGTGGTGCTGCTAGTGTCTGTTATTGTGGAGATTTCCGTGTAGATATGTGAGATGCACCCCTCTCCCCTTGGTGTTGGCTGTTTTGCTATGGGGTGAGTTGGGGGAGTTCTATTAATGATCAGACAGGGTAGGGTAGAAGCTTTGCCAAGAGAGAGCAAGCTTTCTGTTCTAAAGGTGAAAAAGAAGGGAATTAGGACCATAACAGAGTAGTTGTAGAACAAAGCTGGGGGAGAAGGGAGGGGGACAAAACCGGGAGTGGCAAGTGGAGGCAGCTCCCAAGGCTCACTGAAGGGAGGTGGACGGTGTGACTTCAGAGCCAAATCCCCAGCTTGAAAGGAGGATAGGCGATGCTGGGCCCAGAAAGGGATTTGCGATTTCTCCTGGCAGTCGGGTGGGAGGAAAGAAGTGAAGCAACTTAAGGGATGTGCTGTTGAGCTTATTTAAGCTACGATCTTGGCCAGGGAGTTGGCAGACTTCACGAGACATTTTCTGATTAAAAGATTACGTCTTGGGGTTTCTGTGGGTGGCTTCCACCTTGCATTTTGAATCATGGTCCCTGTCTCCCGAATCAGCTATGGTCAGAAAGTGGAGCTGGGCCTTGCCTGAGGGGCCAGGGGCCAAGGTGAGGCTGCTCAGGAGCGAGCACAGTTTGGGGGTGGAGCCTTTGGGGGGCCCAGGTATTCACTGTCATTTCCCAGAGGGAGGGGCGTGAAGGTGAGGGTGATGTCCAGAAGCCTGCCTGGACATTCGTGCAATTCAGGAAGCAGAGGCTCCAAAGCACAGGGCCAAGGTCCTACCCTAACCCTGTGCAGCATCGTGGGGAGAGGCCAGTGTCTTGCAGCTGCATGGCCAGGACAGGTAGCCCCCACCTCCCACCCGTCCACGGCCTCAGAGGCTAGATGCAGACTCAAGGATTGGCCAGCTCTGAAGCCAACTCTTGATTCCAACCGGGAAAACCAGATGAGGCCAGTGGCACGTTGAAAGCCCTGGGAGGCCCGGGCCCTTTCTGTGATCAGAACAGGGCATGCTCCTTGTCCCATTCCCCGACCTGGCATGGGTTCTCTGTGGGTTTCCTGGGGGAGGGAGCCCTTTCTATGCCCACTGACTCCCAGCAGAGGAGAGCCTCTTGCTGGGTCTGTCTGTGGCATTGGGGGAATTAAAGCAGCATGGTTTCATCACTTACAGGCTGGAGGTCTAGGCAAGCCCCTTGCCTAAGAGATTTTCCCCTGTACAGCAGGATACATGCAAGGGGAAGCACACTGGTTATTGTAAACACACCTTCACATTATGCCAGACAGTTGTACATCATTGTGGAAAGCCCAGCTCCCAGCACAGGCTGCGCCTTGGTCTGTTTGAGGGCCAACTCTGAATGAGCTCTGCTGAGCTCTACCACACCCTCCAGTCCCTCCCCTCCCCGCCCCGCCCCCAGAAGCACCTGTTGCTGACTGCTCACCCGATTTCTGTCGCCAGCCAGGCTGCTGCTCCCGATTCTGGGTGCTGGGACCCTGTCTGGGCTCTCACAGCCCCATCTCCTAGAGGGCAGGCCTTGCCAGCACGCTGCAGATGCTGAGCTGCCCTGGGGGGTGGAGATGGCCAGGCTGAGCCAGTGCTGGCCTCTTACCCACCTGGCCCTGTGCCTCTGTTTGGTGTGGATAGAGAGTGGTTACATCCCCCTCCTCAGCCCTGTGTGTAGTGGGTGCCTGCTGCCTCTCCACCTGCTTTTCCATCCGATGGATGGAAACAAACCTGCAGAGCCCCGCAGGGCCCAGTGCAGGCTCCCTTCCCTCCGAGTGGATTATTGAGGTTACTTCCCACACTGCTCTCTTGGTGGCAATTCTCTTCCCCCTGCTCCTTCCTACCTGTGTGGCCAGAGATGCAGTCCCTGGGACCTGTATCATGCAGACCCAGCTGCATTCCAGAGTTTTCTTTCACTTGTGTTTTCTTTTTTTTTTTAACTTTTATTTAGTAAATATAATTTTCAAAGTACAGTTCATGGATTACAATGGCTTTTTTCTTAGCCATCCACCTTTTGGCTCCCGATTCCTGAGCTAGTCATTCCCTGGATAGACTCTTCTCTGCGGGCCTCTCTAACTGTAATGGTTAATTTCACACATCAACTCGACTGTGTCGTGGAGTGCACCAACATTCATTTGGTCAAGCATTGTGCAGTGTGAGTGTGTGTGTGTGTGTGTGTGTGTGTGTAGATGTTTCTAAGGTTTACATTCGACTCCAGGGAGCTCAGTGATCTGTGTTGAGGGTTGCCCTCTCTCACATAGGTGGGTCCACCCAGATCCCATCAAAGTCTGAGACATAAAGCTAGGAGGGAACTGCTGCCTGGCTGCCTTTGAGCTGGGACATTGGTTCTTTTCTGCCTTTGAACTCGGACTGAATCATCGGCTCTTCTGGGTCTCCATCATAACCATGAGCTCTTGGGATCTGGGGATCTGTCAGCCTCTGTCACCATGTGAGCACTTCCTTATAATGAATTTCTTCCTATATAAACTTACACATGCACAGACATCCCATTCATCCCGTGTCTCCAGAGAGCCTTGATTAATTACTGCATTTTCTCTGGCTTTCCACTGCACTCTTGCCCCCACCTCCCATCTCAGACAAAGTCAAATCCCTTCTCATCCTTCAAGATCAACTCATTTGACTCCTCCTCCATGCAGTGGCCCCCCTTTTCCCTCTCTCTCCTGTGCTGTCACAACTCTGTTGTGGAGCCTGTGTGATGGAGCTCACCTCCCCACACCAATCCCTCTGCTCTGTTACAGGCCCTAGGGGCAGGGTCTTCAGTCTCCACATCTCTCCTGCAGCACTCAGGAGGGGCTCAGTGCGGCTCACAACTTATTTAGAGAACTGCAATAGACTGGATTGGAAAGGAGCCAGTGGGAGACAGTTCCCCGACCCCTCCCTCAAGGCTGGGATGCCAGGGCCGCCCTGGGGTGATGTTGCACTTGAAATGACAGCTGTCAGGTTGCGACACGGCATGGCACAGGCTGGTGGTTTCACGCCCCCACCCTAATTCCCCCTAGCACGATCTGTAGCAGCAGCAATATCAAGAGCATTAATAAAATCAATTATTGGATAAAAATCACTGTTTCCCAAAGCTTCATTTTGTGCTATTAGCAGGAGAATGCTATTTCAAAAAGAGATAACAGAGAGAGAGAGAGAGAGAGAGAGAGAGAGAGATCAATTACTGGATAAGATCGCCGCCGTGCCTGAGATGAGCATGTCAGCCGCTCGGCCACTCTTTGCTGCCACGTGGCCTGAGCTCCTGTACCACCAACTGCTGCACCTGCCCTGCGCCTCCTAGATACAGAAGGTGCATCCTGCTTGGATGTGGTGTGATGGGGTGGACAGCTCTCGGCTCTCCTCTTACCCAGCTGGCTGGAGACACTTGAGACAGTCGGGGTCAGTGACATGAATGAGCATCCCATTCTCGGTGACAGTGCCGGACCCAGGACACCAGCCCTCAAGTCCCAGGTCGGGACCCCATCAGCAAATTCTTCCTTGAGATGCAGTGTCTTAGATGGACCTGAAAGGTCTGAGCTGTTTTGCACACAGATCAGCTTTCCCCTAGGAGGAAGAGTGCTAACACCCACTGGGCAGTGGCTGCTGGAAGTAAGCGTCCAGCTTGCCCAGGCTGTGAGCCCAAACCGCCCGCTGGCCGCACAGAGCACCGCTGTTGGCTGCAGGACAGCTGTGGGCTGGGCGGGCTGCACAGTCTGGGCTCTAGCAGGGAAGGCAGCCCGAGATTTTCAGCTTTGCTTTGCGCTCTGCCTCCTTCTAGCTGTGTGGCCTCAGATAAGCCACTGTCCTTTCTGGAACCCTTTCTGCCCTATGCAGTGCAGAGGGGTTTGGTGAGGTTGAAACAAGAGCAGGGAGACAGAAGTGACCTTATACATCCTCAAGCACTATCTCTGTGTGCAGTGGGGGTCCCAGATTCTGCTGGCTCACCAGTGATGCTATTTTTTTTTAAAAGATTTATTTATTTATCTGCAAGTTAGGGCTACTGAGAGAGGTGGAGAGACAGAGAGAGAGATTGATTTTCCATCTGCTGGTTCACTCCCCAAATGGCTGTCATGGCCAGGGCTGGGCCAGGCTGAAGCCAGGAGCCAGAAGCTTCCTCCAGGTCTTCCATGCAGGTACAGGGGCCCAAGCACTCGGGCCACCCTCTACTGCTTTACCAGGCACGTTAGCAGGGAGCTGGACCAGAAGTGCAGCAGCCTGGACATAAACCGGTGCCCAGATGAAATGCAAGCACTGCAGGCAGTGGCTTTACCAGCTGCTCCACAATGGCTGCCCCCCAGTGATGTTTCTTAATAATGGTTGCAGGTTCTTGGGTAGGAGGAAGAAAGGACAAGGGCAGCAGGTGCACTGTTGCCAACGGCCGTCCTGCTCCTGGCCACTGCCCTTCCCACAACAGGTGAGGCCAATTACAGTCCTTGCGTCCCTGCTGTGCCAGCCACCAGGCCAGCATTTTAACACCAGGAGTTCCAAGAGGTGGCATCTGGGGTTGGTGAGCAAGCATTCAAGTCCCAGCCCTGCCGCTTCCCCCTTGTGGGATTGTGGGCCAGACACTTGCCTGTTGAGGCCGTTTTCTGGTCTGCATGGTGGGAGCAGGAGCACTCCTTGTAGCATTGCTCTGAGGATGGCCTGAGGCCCTGGAGTCGAGCCTGGTCCCTGGTGCTGTCAGGGGTGCCTGTCGACATGGTTGCCCTTCTCTGTGTTACTGTTGCTGACGGTGTTTATTAACGTCCAGCCTCTGTCCCTCGCAGCGCCAGACTCGTCTGTGCAGCTGGGGGCTGGTAGGAGCTCCCTGGAGGGCAGGGAGCCGTTCTCACACACTTCCCATTCATGTCCCACAGCCTTCAGATGGTGACTGGGATGACCTGTGGGACCAGTTTGATGAACGGCGGTACCTGAATGCCAAAAAGTGGCGCGTTGGTGACGACCCCTATAAGCTGCATGCTTTCAACCAGCGGGAGAGCGAGCGGATCCCCAGCAACCGTGTTGTCCCGGACACTCGCCATAACAGGTACCTCCTTCTCCCCACCACCCCTATCACCGAGATTGGCTTGATTTAGAGGCAGGCTCTGTGCCTGTGCCAAGAACTGGGGCGGGCCAGCCACTCGGCGCCAGTTGGACACAAAGGGATTGTGATGTGACAGTTGTCCCTCCTCCCATCCCACCCAAGAGGCCTCTTGCACCTGCACCTGCCCCTTTCCCTGCGGTCAGCCTGGATGACACCTTGCTGTGACCTCGCATCATAAAGACCTGTTTTCCTCCAGCAGTTCCCCATGGCTGGCCCTGACCTTCCAAGTAGGGAGGGCTGGATGGACGGACCTCAGGAAAGTCAGGCTGGTGGTCTCCTGTGACTCCAGGAGAGAGGCTTCCTATCACAGCCCATGTGCATTTTGTCAGGGGAGAAGCCCAGGGGACCTCTTCCCTCACCATTGCTTCCACTGCTTATCTGCCTGCCCAGGGACCTATTCGCTCCAACTCTGTCCTGCCACCCCCTTGGGCAGGCCACATCCCATGAGAATATTTCCCAGCAAAAAGAGGCCTTGTGACGACACTGCACCGCACTGTGAACCCTTCCCTTGTGCTTGCTGGTAAGGCCTGAATAAGCAGGTCAGTCCAGACCGTGGCTCCTCCAAACCCCAAAGGTGCCAAAGACCAGTGTGGCAGTGTTTCCTGTCTGCAGTAGAAAATCGGCCTTGCATAGGCCCCAGGCAGCCGTTAGACGTGCCGAGGTAGGAGGGCTCAAGGGCAGTGATTGATGAAGGTGCCGTGGCAATACCTTAGCTTCTGGGCTTTCTGTGTCTGAGCCTGTGGGCACTTGCTTTGTAGAAACGGGGGCTTCTGGGCAGGGGACTACAAATTTTCATGAGTTATGAGGCTGATGACGCCAGGGTTCTTAAGTCAGTGCCGTGGGAAGGCTGGCCAGTGGGCATAGTTTCCCCAACTGGTTTGCACTACTCAGAGCCCTTGCCTTCTACAGCGTGTCTCCCAAGGTGGGGACCCAGGCCGCCCGTCATCACCAGCATCCCTGACGGAGCTGCCGTCTTGATTTCCCCTCCTTCCATCAAGGAGGGTGAACTGGGGGCTATTTTGCTTCTTCCTCTGGAGGGACCCAGGAAATATTTTCTTAGCAGCAGCTGCTGCTGCTCCCTGCATCTGGGGACTCGGGACATGGACCAATCCTCCTCCTTTCTGCTGACCCCAAAGCTTCCTAAAGCCTTAGTCTTGTGTTATTCCTATTTTAATTCCTCAGCACTTATCTTGCTCCTTGGCAACTGACAGAATTGCATTTAAATATTAGGCTATTGTATTTCCCTGGGCAGAAACTACATATAGGAGAATGAGGAAGAGTGAGGCAACAGGAGGCTTAGTAGCCCCGTGAGTCTCGGACAGGTGGTCCCTCCCCTGGTCTGAGTCCAGGTGCCAAGGGCCTCCTGAGGGTCAAAGGGAGGTTGCTGGTGCCTCTTGGTGGAGCCCTCAGAGAGGCACCTGTGACCGCCCCCACCTGCAGGAAGCAGGCACCAAGGAGTGCCCTGAGCAGGCACTGGCACCGGCACTCCTGCTCTTCGGTGATCTGAGAGGCAGGAACAAATGTTTTGCAAGGGCTGGGCATGTGTGCTGGGAGCAGATGAGGAACTGAGCCTGTCCCCCCAGGAGCCCAGGTCCCGGCTCCACTTCTGACCCAGTGGGTACCTTCTGTTAGAGGAGTGTGATCTGCTTGCTTGCAGCAAGAAGGGAAGAGATGATTTTGAGGGACTGTGGACACCCTTTGGGAAGACAGAAAGGGAGAGTGTGTCTCCCCACCTGGCCCTGCAGGGCTGGGAGTGTGTTCCTCAGAGAATTTCAGAATGAATGGAGCTTACGCTGAACAAGCAGCAGTAGGGCAGGCCAGGGACTGAATAAGGGTAATTGCATGGGACCAGCAGCTGTCTTCAGGGTGTTGAACACCCAGAGTACACAAAGCCCACAGTCTGGCACTGTGAGTGGAGTGCTGAGCCCTTGCCAGGGTCACCCCTGCCGTGACACTGCCAGCAAAGCCATTTGTCTGCTCATCAGCTGGCCCCACTGGGTGGTGACCTTCTGCCTGTACAATCTCCTACTTCCTGCTCTTGCTTCTTAGCGAGACCATGGCTGTGATGTTGGGGGTCACCAGCCAAGCCCCATAGTCTCCCTGCTGTATCCCAACTTCATCCTACTGTGACACTTGCCTCTGCTCTGATCAGCTGAGGCTACTCTACTGGGTGACCTCCAGTAGCTCTGGGAGTATCATCAGCAGCAACCGACATTCTAGAATTTTGGTTGCAGGTGTCAAGTGCATTGTAGGATGCTTAGCCACATCTCTAGCCTCTATTTTCCAAAGTACCTCCACAAAATTGAGACAACCAAAAATGTCCCTAGCCACTGCTCGATGTCCTCTGAGGGATAAAATTGCAGTTGGGGCCACTGCTGTAACCCCAGCCCTGCTTTTTACCTACATTCTCAAAAGCAGAATGTAAGCACACTTTATCAACCCCTTCACTGGCTGCAGGACAGGGCCCAGCCTTCTGCATCAACAGAGTGCAGCAGAGGCAGATGGACTCGGGTCAGACTCCCCTGTGTCCAGCCCTGGATGTGCTGCTTAGTAGCTTCTTTGGAGTTTAGTTTCCTCTTTGGAAAAATAACCATGATCCTACCTAATTCTGCTTCTGTAAGGATCAAACAGAACATAGGTATGCATTTGCTGGAGCCTGGCAGTGGTGGGTGGGTGTGGAGAAATGGTGCCATGGTGAACCAAGAAGCAGAGAGAGGTGGGAGTCACGCTCAAGAACTCCCTTCCGAGGGCAAGCCCAAGTCTGCACCCTCAATCCACTGATGTTTTTTTTTTTTTTTTTTTTTTTTTTTTTTTTTTTGACAGGCAGAGTGGACAGTGAGAGAGAGACAGAGAGAGAAAGGTCTTCCTTTGCCGCTGGTTCACCCTCCAATGGCCGCCGCTGCAGCCGGCGCACCGCGCTGATCCTGGCAGGAGCCAGGAGCCAGGTGCTTTTTCCTGGTCTCCCATGGGGTGCAGGGCCCAAGCACCTGGGCCATCCTCCACTGCACTCCCTGGCCATAGCAGAGAGCTGGCCTGGAAGAGGGGCAACCGGGACAGAATCCGGCGCCCCAACCGGGACTAGAACCCGGTGTGCCGGCGCCGCAAGGTGGAGGATTAGCCTATTGAGCCAATCCACTGATGTTAATCCATTAACCTTTAACAGAGGACTTGGGGATTAAACATCTGCATAAGTCTGGGGAGTCCTAAACACAACAGCCATTTACCTAGTCTGTGGTAAGTTTTCAAAGCATTTTAGCTGTGCTGTTATCACAGGGCAAGTTCAAAGTGAAGCTGCGGGGCTTGGAGGGAAATTCAGGGTTCTATTGGGAAACTGAAGATGCCCAGGCAGGAGATGCAGCCAAGGCCCCAGAGCTAGGGGCGCTGGTGTCCCCAGTCCCGGGGAAGGTCACTAAGTTTGCTGGACCTGTGAGGCGGTGGTTCAAAGAACAGAGGGGAATGTCAAGGTCAGGTTCAAGGCCAGAGAAATGGGAGTAGGTAGAATCAGTCTTTTGAATGTGGAGTGTTAGGAGCATTGACCTTAGTGGTTGTCAATCTAGGACTTTCATAAGAATCACTTGGGGATCTTAAAAAAAAAAAAAAACAAACTTCCCAGTGCCCTCACTCCTGCTCCCTGAAGCATCTCTTTGCCAAACCCTTCAAGCAAATCGAATGAGCAACTAGGGCTGAGGACACTGCTCTATGTAAATGCTTCTCACACTTTCTAGGCAAGCGAACAGGGTCATCTGAGGGTCTTGTGATGAACCAATTCAGTAGGTTTGGGATGGAGCCTGAGATTCTGCATTTCTGATAAGCTCCTAGGCACTGCAGATGCCATGGATCTGTGGTTCAGCTTAGAAGAATGGTACTCAGAGTGTAGTTTCCCAAAGCAGCAGCCAGCAGCCTCAGCATCACTGGGGGAATTTGCCAGAAACACAGATTCGTGGGTCTCCTGCAGAACCAATGCCTCAGAAACTCTGGAGGGTAGAGCCTAGCAGTCCAGGTCTCAGTAAGCACAACACAGGGTTCTGACCCTGGCTCAAGTTTGGCAACCACAGTGGTCAGCTGGCCCTTGTGGACCGGATGAAGTCCATGGGTTGTCCCATCCAAAAGGCTCAGGGTATGAGTAGAGACTTGGAGGCTCTGAGGTAAGGCCACACTCCTGCCCACATGCTGCAGCCCTCTCTCTGTCCCTTTGACATGGCTCCTATCTCAGGCCCTGTGGGGATTTTGGTCCCCCACCCCCACACCAGTTCCCTCCCTCTTCTCCCAGTTGCTTCAGTTACAGGATCCGTGTCCTGCCATCTTTCTGGCTATCAGCACCACTTCTACCAAAAAGCCACTCCTGACCCCAAAGTCGCTGGCTCACCCGGGACTCCTGGCTCCTTTGTGGCACCCAACCTGAGTGATATAGGCTTTGTTCCCTCTAGGTCACCTTTGTGTTCCCATCATGCCTTGCAGCTTAGGTTCTACTCGTTAGGATGTCATTGCCCTCCAGGGTGAGTAGCATTTGAGCACCTACTGCAGTGCTTGGTGGGAGACAGGAAGCCAGTAACTGTTGGTTGAACCCATGAAAGGGAGAGTATGACTGGGAAGATGCTTGGCTGTCGCTCCCCCTCTTCGTGGAGGAACGACACTAAACCCTGCCTAGGCTTCATATCCGAGTCACGGCACCATTATGTCGCTCCCCCTCTTCGTGGAGGAACGACACAGGACCCTGCGCTGTTCTTTTGTCTGCTCGGCCCTCCCCGGGTTTGCTGCTGGTTCTTCCCGGGTTGGCTACTGTCCCTTCCACATCCGTGGAAGGGCGGTTCCCCCTGGCCACATTCCCCACTTCCGCAGGGGAGCGGCACTCCGCCGGCCGGCTCTCTCGGGGGCTGCACAGGTGTTCCCCTTAGGTGTTCCCCTTAGATGTTCCCGGTGCATGCCGTCTCTCTCCTCCTTTA